GGCTCCAGGGAATGCGAGGTATGAACCATTGTGATAAAAGAGCTTTTAAAGGCTGGGAAATAGTGGTGCTTTATTGAACTCTAGGGACTATAAAGGGAACGTTTTTCTCACTTTTCTGGCACAGCTCTTCCATGTCCCTTTTTTGTACATTCATAATACTGGTCATTTTACTCTCATACATAATCAACTCATTGAAATTTAAATACCGCAATCAATGTGAAGCCTGAGCTCTGGTTTAATACAATACCTATTGTACAAACCCTCTACTGATCTCATTAAAGTCTCTCTTGTTTTTAAATAGAAAACTTCTTTCATAAGTAATCCACTGCACCTGCACCAACTGTGCCTCTGTTTAGGGAGATAAATGACAACAATGAAAAAAAAATCAAACTCAGCGTATCCCCCTCTGCCTCCCCAAACCCAGTCCTTGCTCTAAAACTCACTTTTTGAGCCCAGAATGAAGGAAAGATCCAGGTGCTGTAGTATAATATGAATTCTGAGTTGTCTGAGGACAGAGATGGTGCAGGAACAGCTCTGAAAAAATGCCTGATTGCTGCTCAACACAAGAGAGACTAGAAAGCACCCTTAAGAATCACACCAGAGGCAAAGCAGAGGGAAACCTAGGCTTAATAAAAAAATTAAAAATAAAAAGGTACAGTGGTATTTTCTGTACCGCATTATACCACAGTGTTTCTAGGGCCAATAGCTAGCAATTGAAACCTGTTTATGTGACTTCATACAAAAGGTGCCAGTGTTTATCCCTACATCCAGTTGCCTTTCAGAAAATAGTCAAAAGGCATTCATTAGATGAGGAGCAGAAATTCCTTATTGATGCAATTAGAGGAACTCAAATGTGCAGCAGCAAAAGCAAGACCACTTCCTGCACACATTTGTTTCAGCTCTCATTAGGAATTCTCTTTTCAGGACTGTCAAAGGCATTTATGTAGCTGAGGAAACCATTAAAATCCATCATTTTCTTCTGTTTCTGTTTATTGGCTGGGCTAGGCTTGCTAAGGTTGTGTTATGTTTTGCACAGTGTCCCTCTAATAACTAAATAAAGCTTCATCACTTAAAATGCCAAACACTGAGCATTTTAGACATGCTACAGCTGCACAGAGCTTTCAGAGAAAACTGGTTACTCACTGATGTGAGAGGAGTACACCCAAAAATCCTTTTACACAAATCAGTGACAAATCATTTTCCTCTCTTACCAAAACCCTAATGACATTACAGAATTCACACATATTCAGTTTTAATGTCTAGTCATACACCAGTGGTTGTGGGCAAAATACAGATTTGTAACCCAGCTATTCCCTGCCTTCCTTCTCCCCAAATCATGTATTTTGTTGGCTGCAGAAGAACAGAATATCCCCCATATTTGCAAATAAATCATACCTCTTATTTTGATTATCAGGAAGGGAGGGTATGAAATAACACAGCAGCACCTTTATAGAAGTCAGTAACTTAATTATCTCCATTTTGCAACTTGATTTGGCTTTGTAAACTGCACATCTTCAATCACTTGGGAAGGAATATTTCTACAAGGCAGTTTCACTGCAGCAGATTAGAAAAAGCAAACCTTAACAGAAGGTTCTCCTGAATTGTTACTGAAAAAACCCAAATATAGAAAATCACCTTGAAACATTGAAAACAAAGATAGAAACATCTCTTAAAAGAACTAATACACTTGAAAGGGTTTGGGCTGGGGTTTTTTCAGGGAATGAAACCATTCTCCTTTTCAAGGACTGTAGTGAGGAAATAGCTGAGGGTGGAAGCTGGAGCTGTGCTGAGCCCTGCAAGAGAGACCCCATTTCCCTGAGCACCAGGACCCCACAGCATTCACAGTGCCAGTGCTTGAGACACTTCAGCAGCACAGCAGAGCTACACCTCAGTTGTGCCTGGGCAGCTGCTATTAAAAAGTCAATACACATTTAATTATCCAGGCTACTGCAGGATTCAGTTTTCTACCAGCACATCCTGCTTATCTCTGCACTGAAGCATTAGAGTTTGCTATAAACTTCATGTTAACAACCATCCCTGCACTTCAGGGGCTTTCATCTCTGCAGTGGTGACTAACATTGGGCACAGCCAAAACACAAGAGACTTGCCCCAAAACATATGGATGTTCATATATACATACATACAGACACACACACACACGTATGTGTGTGTACAAATATAAATACACATAAAAATAAAATTATTTTTTTATATTTCGTTTTAGGACTGCTAACTGCAATCAGAAAATAATTTCATACTATTACTTAAGAATTTTTGTTATTCAGAAATATTCAATGCATCTTCTAAAACCTCTTAGTGGACTGTGATTGTGAGAGTTGTCTATAATTGAATTGGACTTATTATGCTTTGTGTTTCTTTAATGCCTTGTTCTAAACATTACTCAGAAAGAACCAATCCACAGCCTCCTTCAGAAAGTGCTACCTGTAAAACCATCACTAGCTCCCTTTGAATAATCAATTATAGGCATGAAAAAGACAATTAGGCCAGTCTGCCATTAATCATGGGTGGGTAACAAACACCCAGCAGGTGCATTCATGCACAGACAGGCTCAGATCCCAAATCCCCTCCCAGGCTGGGAACTGCAGCTGTCCCCAGACATGTGGGTCAGTGTGTGAATCCTGCCATGGTCACTGGCAATGCAGCCCCTGGCTGGGCACACACCAAACACACCCAGTGCAACTCTCTGAGCCTTGTGCACAGCCCAGGGCCTGGGAGCCAAGGTTTTAAATCCCACCCTAGTGCCCATGGCTTAGAAAGCATTTTGAACCAGCTCCACAGCCCCTTAAAACACATTATGAACTCCATGTTTTCATGTGAGCAAAACCCACACGAACTCAGCTAACCTGAGCCTCACCACTGGCAAATGAAATACTGCAGCAGTGACTTGGTTTGGGTGGCAGGGCCACCAGAGTCACAAATTCTAATAATCTTGTGGGAATGACTTGGTCTTGGCTGAGCAGCTCTAAGTCCCCATGAAAGGCTGCCCCTCTCCTGAATACAAATGAAATGCTGAAGCCTCAGAGGCTCCAGCAAAGAAATTTCTCCTTTGCTTCTCTCCAGTATCTAAAATCTTGATCCCACTTTGTCCTGGTTTTTGGATAGTTTGGTGCCAGTCTCTCCCAAAACTGTTAAAACCTCACTGGGGTGATGCCAAGCAATCCTCAGAGGATGTCAAAGAGCCACAGCAGCTACTATGGCTCTCACAAACCTGGGAGCCTTCACACAAGCATTTTAGGCACTAAGTTGAGGAAGGAGATGTGACCAAATGCCTCCAATGACTTGGTTCCTCTTTAATGGAGCTGACAGCACCTACATATTCCAATTTTAGGAGAGCAGCAATGGGTCTTGAAGATGTATGTAATTTTTTTTTCTGTTTGTTTTTGGGATCTGTAGTCATTTACTGTTCCTTTTCCTGGGACATGTATGGTGTTCTGGGGCTACCACTGCAGACCAGGGCTTTTCAAGCTGCAGACAAAGTGCAGGACTCTTCCATGCCCAGTGTCATTGTCACTGGGTTGGCATCTATGTGTACTTAGACAATGCTGAGACGAATGTTAGGTGGAATCACCAAACTGCTTCATTTCATTGTAGCACCCCAAAAACGTTGAGGGCAGTCAGGACTTTCTCTGTGAGACACAGAGAGACCATGGCAAACAGAATGAGAGATTTGAGGTCATTTGCTGGATCACACAGAGGCTGAGTGCTGGGACTATAACCCAGCCCTTGCACTCAGGTCTCCTCCTTGCCTCTCACAGACCCAGCTCATGGAATATTCCAGTGCCATTTCAGAGTAACCCCACACAGAATGCACATCTTGGGGAAAAGAAAATAACTCATGCACTAAGCAAATTGGAGGAGACTGGTAATGTTCATTCACCATGTTGAGATCACCTCCAGCAACTGCAGAGTAAGAGAATAATAATGAGAACAAGTGGCTTGAGTATAATGACTGCAAGCTCCTCTGCTGGCTGGCTTTCATGACTCACTATCTGCACCTCCAGAATCATCACAGCTGAAGCTTTGGCAAAGCTCTCTTTTCTTATTAGTATAAAATGGTGAGCCTTCATAGAAAATTCAATTGCAAAATCAACATAAATATACAATATGCCTGCATACACAATTAGAAATTTTCAGTTTGCTGCAAGCAAATGGTCTTTGCTGTCAGCCCTCAGTGCTAGATAAATATTCCATGGGTGAATTTCTGTGGAACAATAGTGACATCCAGTGGGTAGGGAGCTTAATCACAGGTATCTCCTGCATAAATCAATTCCCACTGAGATATGTTTGCCTCTTCCCTTGGCATCCTTCTCTGTCCCACAGGAGAAACATCAAACCCTTGCAGCATAGTGAGTGCTCAACTGGAGCTGTGTACAGCAGCCACAACCTGCATGTAGTGAGGACATGGAGAAAATAAGAGCAGGTGAAAGCTGGCAGGAAATGGTGACTTCCATCCAGTGTGGAGGTCACTACTGCCAGAAAAAGGCAAGGAGTACACAAGCAGCTCTAACAAGTTTGTGGCCACTGGTTTAGAACTTATTATTTAGAAAACACCACTTTAACAGACTAGAAAATAAAGTCAGGCCACAAATAACTCATTCAACCTCCTAATAGCAGAACACTAAAAATTTTTTTCTTCAGTTTATAATAATAAGAGAAACATTTTATTAGACATTAAAAGAAGGACAATTCAATACCTGGGAACAAGCCAAAGTAAGAACTTCCTCTCAAAACCACACAACGTTCAAAGAGACAAGAGGAAAATGATGCAAGATCAAATTCACAAACAGTAGCAAAGTCCTGCAGTGGCAAATATGACAT